GAGAGAGAGAGAGAGAGAGAGAGAGAGAGAGAGAGAGAGAGAGAGAGAGAGAGAGAGAGAGAGAGAGGTTATGAAGGGGGGGAGGAGACAGAGTCCAAACTGCACACAGATCAGAGTAGATAGCGGAAGCAAAACCATGCACAGATGGGGAGAGGACACACAGTGTTTCTCACCCTCTGAAGATACTCCCAACAACCAATCACAAGAAAGAACCTGCGAGGATAACAATTGGAATACACACTGATGATGAGCCAATTAACGAGAAATAGTTACAGAGTTTGTTCCAGTGTCTCGCCACTCTCAGAACCTCACACYCCACTCTCTACCCTACACCCAGTTAGTAGCGCCACATCAGAATGGCCTCCCAGAGGCCAGCGCCAACCACCCAGGTGAAGAACAGATCCTGCGATAAAGTCTTCAGTGCCGCTGAACAACTCTGACAAAGAACCAGCAGCTACGGCTGCCGCCACCCACAAGGACTCAGTGAAGAGTCTCCACACAGCCCAGCCACTCGCAGAAACCCACAGGGGTTGATGCGCGGGGGATGCCCCAGCTATGGCAAGCCCTCAGCAGGCTGGCTACGGCTTCTGTCCATGGTGAGGATCTCAGGGTAACCCCTGCAGACAATCGCCGTTGCAAACCTCCTTGGCTCCAAACGCTGTATCAGGAAAATGAATTGCCAAAAAAGTCCCAACCCGATTCCCCCAAACTATTAATAGACTCTACTACTCTACCCTAGACCTAGACCGGACTGACTGACCGACCGGTACCATTTCGGTTTCGGCCTCTCGGACTCTACCGGACCCGGCTATAGGCTATAGGACCGTCTATCAGCTTAGGCCCTTAGGGCCTGTCTGTCCTAGGGGTAGCCCGGGCCTGCTAACGCAGTGAGGATCGCTGTAGGAAATTCGAAGTACTGCTGGACCTATTTTCTCCATTTTTGCAGATATGTCCCTCACGAATTTTCCTTACAGGTAGGTCTCTCGGTTAGCCCTCAGCCAAACAAAATTGTGAATCTACCCTACTGCTGTACTGTACAGCCTCGCGGTTAGTCTCGGCAGTCGAAACCAGCAAGTCATTGCCGAGGGGTGGCGGACGAAGATGAAGGAAACAACGTCAATGACAAGCGGGTCGAAAACAGGGAGGAGGAACAAGAGAGCAAAAGGGAAAAGGAATGAAAGACGCTGAAGACAAAGCATGCGCAACAGGGAGCATGATGAATATGAAAGGACAGGGAAAAGTAGTAGTAGAAGAAGAGGACAGGGAAATTGAAGAGTGAAATAACAAAGAAAAAAAAAAAGCAAGGTAGCCTGGATTGGGAAAAGAAGGTACTTGCTCTCTCGAGCCATGGATGGATTCATCACCCCCTGTTTTTGGAGCTCGTGTTCAGCAAAACAAAGATATTCAGTAGAGACCATGAGCGAGCCACAGCAAAAAAAAACGATACTTAGACAATGACGCAAGGTCCAAAAACAGAGGGGTGATAAATCCATCCATGAAATGATTGAAATCACAGTCAGATTTACTCGGTGACAATCTCGGGAAAGACGTTGACGAGTGAGAGAGAGGATGGCCTCGATCAGCTAACCTTAATTTTGGTAATCTCGTAATCGGCTGACATTGATTCTTTCGAAATTCCAAAATCCGAAACTTTGGCGTTATACATCTCGTCCAGCAGCACATTTGACGGCTTCACATCTCTGTGAATTATCTTGGGCTCGATCGAATGCAGATAGCTGCACAGCAACCCAACAACAACAAAAAAAAACAAAAAAAAAAACAAAAAAAAAACGCCCAGTGAAAAGCTCCTCTCTCATGTAAGTGTTTTCCGAAAAAAAACAACCAAAAAAAACAACTTTCTCTGAAAAAGCAGTATGCGCAAACAACAACTCTTCGTCGTTTTACAAAGAAACTTCCTTTGTTTTTTTCCTTTTTTTCTTTTTTCCTTTTCCCTGAATTGCATGAGTTGGTTGATTACTATTTCACAATTTCCCGTTTTCTGAAAGTGCTTGTGTAATCTCATTGGTCGACGCAGAGCTTTAAATTAATTTCCATTATTTTTGTCTAGATTAGATACACGTTGGTTGATGCGGAGCTTCAAACGAATTTTGGCGGCCTAAATTAGGGCGAGAATCCTCGAGATACAGATCTATCTTCAAAAGCTTGACAGATATCGCCCGTAATTCTGAGAATTGAATAATTTCGCTTTTTTTTCTAGGCTTGATCAAAGTGGGCGCACATGCCTGGCTGGGCCAAAAAAGAGAATATATCTATATAATATTATAATACACTAGGCTACGAAAGTCGCCCGGCCAGGCCCGCCCGCCCGGGCGTCCCGGGCCCGGGCGGTCTGCCCGGACTCGCCCGGGGCACCCGGGCGACTTATTTTCGGCCCTTTTTTTTTCTTTTTCTTTTTTTTTTGGAAGGCAGTGCATTTTTGCGCTTACCCTAAAGTCTCCAAATCCGGTGTGTTTGTCGGTGGGTTGAGCTTTGGTTTGGTGGGGGGGGGGGGGGGGGGGGGGGGGGGGGGGGGGCAGGAATGGGGGTGGGGGGGTGCAGGGGTGTTCTGCTGTAACAGAGGCGAAAAGTGGAGCTTTCCTCTTTCCTCTTTCGCCTCCTCCTACTCCTCCTTTCCCCCTCCCTGTCCCTCATTTCTCCCTCCTCCTCCTTTCTCCCTTCTCATCATTTATAGTCGCCCTGTCCCGCTACATGGTCCACCGCACATTTTTTTTAAGAAATGGGGGTCCAACAGGCCCCGTATTGCTATTTGGTATTGTGTGGTCCAATGGACCACGGACGAGTTGACACTGGCAGGAGGTGCTCGTCCATCCTCAGCCACGAGGAATTTGCTGTGCTGGAATTCTGGCTCTGCTGAATATATATGCTTCTGCAACATCACTAAGCTCTGGGGAAAGAGTTATGGGTTTGGGTTTCGGCTCTGTCCGAGGTGCAAGCCCAAGAATGAACTTAAAGTCGAAAGATATATTCTTCTCTCAATCTATTTAACGTGGCCCTGGCTCCACTATATGTATTTGGACAGACTGCCAGGCAAGATACTTTCGGACTGAGGACACTGATGAGCTAGCGTATGTAGAGAAAAACAAACAGAAAACTCTCTACCTGCGCAAGCTGAAACCCGCACCCATAACTTTTGTGCTGTCGAGCTATACTCTAGAACAGCTATAAATTTTGGCAAGGATCACCACTTATCATGTCTCGCTATGCCTGTGAAATTATGAAGTCTGCAGGTAAAGCCCAGAATGCCCTCTGCTTCTGCTTTGAAGTTTGTGGGTCACTGGCGGGGGKGAGATAAGTACCCTATTCCCCCTGAAAGCCACCCAAGGGCGGGTATGGGGGTGTTGGTGGGTTATTACAATTTTTGGACCAAAAAAAAAAGAAGTTTTTTTTTTTTTTTCGTGGGGTACCGACCACCCACGACTGCTGGGTGCTGACCAGCAGACCGGTTGGCTGGTCGGCTGCCGACCAGTCTAGCGTGCAACCCTGCCCCAGGGGCAAAGAAAAACTTAAAGCACCCTGCGCGTGATTTTGCGCTGATTGGCCCGGGGGTTGGACCGGGCGGGCCGCCCGGCTGGGCGTCCCGGGCGGGTCCCGGGGGAGGTAGGGGGTACACGGGCTGCCCGGATCGTAGCCTAGATAATACATATATATACCATACTTGCGGCGCGTAGGTGAAGTGCGCTGCGCGGTGCGCAGTGCGCTAATCCCAGGTGCACGCGCGCGCGCAAAAAAAACAAAAACAAAAACAAAAAAAAACCGTGATGCGTGTATAGTACTGTATACACGCTGGAGAGAGAGAGAGAGAGCACAGAGCCCTTTCACATTATTCAGACAAACCCCTGGCGGTACTTCAAAAGGTCCCTGCCAAAAATTGGCAAGGGTCCCTTCGGCAGGAACGTGGTAGTCATTGGAAGGGTTGTCGCTGGAGGGAGTAGGCCAGCTACATATGGTGTAGCTTCAATTTCAGGTCCGTGTTTCAGCAGTTAAGGGTTACTGACTTGCTAACTCGGCATGTGATTTTGCGGGCTTCACTCCACTACTCACCAAATGTGCAAAACTAGAATGAATCTTCTCCTAGAAAATGGATCCATACAGGCCATAAGTTTTTCTTTTCTGCAAGTGCTGATGAGTGGAGCCATTAGGTGGATTATCACTTACAGTGTAATCAGTTAGGGGATTCTGCAGACTGTTGAGGATTCAGCCTCCTGATGAGTCGGTGAAACTCCGACGAAACAGTTTGCCACAGCCCCTCGTTTGTTGTCCTCTTCTCCCTCTCTGCCTACGGTTTACCGGGCAGCTATGTTTGACTATATATATATATTGTCACACTGTGAATCAGAGCGCAAAGGCGAAAAAAAGCAAAACAAGGAAAGAAAAAGAAGGAAGGAAGGAAAGCCCCACCTGTTCATCACCTCTTACGTACAAGGCCAGCCAGCCTCCTGATGAGTCGGTGAACTCCGACGAAACAGTTTGTCACAGCCCTTCGTTTATTGTCCTCTTCTCCCTCTCTGCCTGCGGTTTACAGGGCAACTCTGTTTGACTATATATCGCCAAACAGAGCTGCCCGGTAAACTGTAGGCAGAGAGGGAGAAGAGGACAACAAACGAGGGCCGTGACAAACTGTTTCGTTGGAGTTTCACCGACTGATCAGGAGGCTGAACCCTCAACAGTCTGCAGAATCCCCTAACTGATTACACTGTAAGTGATAATCCACCTTAACCCCGGTTGTGGTTAAGCATCAATGACTGCCCGACAACTGATACCCTGAGGTGGGCACCAACCACTGCCCTCAAGGTACCCGTGATGAAAATCAAAGCAGACTATCACTCACCCACACCAAATGGAAAACTCTACAGACTGTCGGTTCACACCCCATCACAAGCCAGC